GCCCAACTGACCTGTCTAAAAAATAAAGTGTGCATGCATGTATCTGGTTGTCTCTTTCTGACTGCAGGAGCTGTGCTTCCGTACGTTGGACCGAGTATACTTCAGCAGATATCAATCCAGCCCGTTCTACAGCTCCTATCTACTCGAGGTATGTCTGCGCTGTACAGTCAATAATTGCCGGGTTTAGGGTTTGTGGGTCATGACATGCTCTTATTTGGAAATTGTGGGCTGTGGTATTAAGCTGTACAATATATGACAGGTGAAAATTTACATAAGTGTCACAAAGACGGGGACATACACTACGCGCATACACTTGTAACGCGAATGGGCACTGTTATATATAGTTGTGCATGTCACACACAGACAGTGACGTTAACGACCATCACCATCATATATAGTTGCTATACATGCAACAAATGCTCACGTGTTTATTATCTTGAAGTAATTGTAGCAGATATTTATGGCCTATTCTTTATTATTCATTTTATTTTATTTTATTTTTCATCCGTTCTGTTTAGTGTGTGACGTGTTGAGAGCTGCGGCAACATGTTCTGAAATATATGTGTCACCTTGTGTATGAGATTATTTCAATAAAAGAACATATTATGAGCTCAGAGCTGCGGTTAAATATAAAAATAATATAAAGGCAAAACCAAAACATATCGTCGATAAGGCTTCTAGTTAACTAGTTAAAGCACATATCGTAAAGTCATCATACATCGCTATGAGTGGCACATTCTTGTTAATCACTGACACATTCTTGTCAATCACTGATACATTCTTGTCAATCACTGACACATTCTTGTCAATCACTGACACATTCTTGTCAATCACAGCCATTGACTTTGTACAATCACAGCTATCTACTCGCGCAAGTGTCCACGAATTCATCGCAGACCCGACGCAGAACCACAGGCAAGCATTTATAACTGTGTGCATATATAGGAACACTGATATACTGACTATATACCACCCCTCCAGGAGCTATCCGGTGAAACATACACCTTATTAGACCTACTGAACAACGATCATCTGCTAACACACTTCACTGCCTACATGTCATCGGCTAAGGCGGTGCCGTTTGAGGGGGTATGTGGATGTGTGGTGCAAGTCACTCGGGTGTGTACCTTTTAAGTACAGCGGTTGATTTAATGTGAGTGTATGTTTGTGAATCCGAACATATTTGTATATATATATATATATGTATATATATACATATATATATATATATATATATATATATATATATATATATATATATATATATATATATATATATATATATTTATATTGTCTGTTTCTGTGTCTCTGTCTGTTTCTGTGTCTGTGTCTGTGTCTACGTCTGTGACTGCGTCTGTGTCTGTGTCTGTTTCTGTGTCCGTGTCTGTGCCCGTATGCTGTATGTCTGCATACTACCGCATATAAACGGAAAGTGCTGCGTCATCTCTTACCATATATGAGCTACTACATGAGTAGGCATCTTAAGGAAAGAAGTAAACGTGATGCCAACCCACGCACGCGCTTGTTGTACCATCATTATAAACTGTCATACTTCATTCAGCTTTGTAGTTTTCGTAGCACTCAGACCGAGCCGGCGGACCTGAACTCAATGATTCGTTGTGACTCGGTTGTGTATTCTAACGCCAAGATGTACCGAACACCATCTGAGTCAAGTAATAAAGTTATAAAGTCGTAAAGTTATAAAGTTAAAGTTTTAAAGTTACAAAGCAATACTATCTCGGTACATGGCCCCGTTTTCCTGTTCTTGTGGCATCCTATTCCATTTCTCACCACCCATAGCTATTGCAGTACCACCGTGCCCTGTGGTTGCAACATCCTCTTCTATATTTGTACCACCTGTCCTGTTGTTAACACCCACTGTCCTGTTGTTAGCACACACTGTCCTGTTGTTAACACATTGTTAACGCCCACTGTCCTGTTTTTCCTCTAATGTCCGCTGTAACTGTAACACCTGCCCTGTTGTTAACACACACTGTCCTGTTGTTAACACCCACTGTCCTGTTTTTGCCTCACTCTCCGCTGTATGTAGACGGAGCCGAAAGACCTGCTGTCGTTTTGGCTGAGTGCACGCAATTTCAAAGATCTGCTGTACCAGCACAAGGTATTTAATGCCTCTGCACCTCCGCCCTGACATTCCGGACATGCCCCGAAACTTTGTCAATAGGACAGTCCGATCACCTCAGTATATGTGGTGCTTTGAGTTTAATGCGAGAACACCTCAGCATATGTGGTGCTGATGCGAAAACACCTCAGTATATGTAGTACTCTGAGATTACCACACATTGGAGCACAGCTCAATATCAGAGATAACATCAGAGTATGTAGTACGTTGTACATGGGTCACCTGTACCGATTGTGCGCATTCATTGAATGCGTAAACGTACTTCACCGGAGATTGAACGTGTATTTCGAATCCCAGCCCACGCCCCAGGTCCGCCCCCGCATACTCGTATATTCCCAGTCAACTCCCTATACCCACTCTCCTTATACCCACCTACCAAACAGGTTTGTCTCGATGCCTCGCGCACCTGTCCAGACGAGGACAGGGCTAAAATGGCCCGGCAGTTCAGGACCGATGCGCAGGAGAGTGCGATGTCTCTGTACGAGCGCTTCCTGTCGTGGCAAGCGTACCGTCCGGTTAATGTGGGACCGGACGTAAGGACAGAAGTGGAGCTGAGCATATCAGGGCAGAACGGGCCCTCGATGGGGTGCTTCGAGGGCGCACAACGGTGTGTGTGTGTGTGTGAGGCTGCATGGGGGTGAGGGGTGTGTATGAGTGGTGGTAAATGTCTTCAGTGTCTTAGGTGTATGTTTACGTAAATAAGAGTGAGACATAATGTATAATTAAAATAAAAGTGAATGTTATGTATGCTTAGATAAGTGTAAATCACTATGTTTACGTAAATATGAGTGAGACACCATGTATAATTAAATAAAAGTGAATGTTGAGTATGCTTAGATAAGAGTGAATCACTATGTTTACGTAAATACGAGTGAGACATCATGTATAATTCAATTAAAAGTGAGTGTTACGTACTCTTAGATAAGTGTGAATCACTATGTTTTCCTGAATATAAGTGAGACACCAAGTATAATTAAATAAAAGTGAATGTTATGTATGCTCAGATAAGTGTGAATCACTATATTTACGTAATAAGAGTGCGACATCATGTATACTTCAATAAGAGTGAATTATTATGTACAGATATACACATTCACTCACTCACACCTAAACAGTTGTACACACTCGCCAACTCATACGTGTACATATATGCACACTCGCCCACTAGTACGTGTACATATATATACTTTCACCCACTCATACGTATACATATATACACGCTCACTCACTCAAACATGTACAGATATACACACTCACTCATACGTGTAACATGTACAGATATACGTTCGAGGTGATGGAGGAGAACTACTTCCAACAGTTTCTGCGCAGCGATGTGTTTCGTCAGCTGTGCGGCGCCATGGCCAAAGAGGCCGACAAGCTATGGCATGGCAGTAAGTCATTTGTCCGTAACAGAGTGTGCATGTACGTGTATTGTTCATTTGTATCTTTAAAGGAGTGTACTAAGGATTCCTTTTTCAGCGTATATATAACCGATTGAATCACTACAAATATAAACACATTCCTTGACATTCTATTTCTGATTCACGATTTGATAATTCCCATTCTTTTATCCTGTTCCCAATCATTTTACCCTGTTCCCAATCTGCTACTTCAGTTATTCCCATTCGTTTTACCTGTTTTTAATTTGCGACGTCATCCATTCCCAATTCTTTTACCCTGTCCCTATTGTGACACTAAATCATTCTCACGTGGTTGTCACACAACGTGTCATGTGACATAAATCGGAACGAACCCTGTTTCACCAAACATGGCCTTTAGCAGAGAAAGGTCCTGTCCGATATACGTCATGATGCACCCGTTTGTATTCTATCTGTATGCCTATAGACATGTGCACATACATAGAGGGCATGTACCAGTTATCACCCCGTGGTCATCTACCATCTAAATTTAATAGTACCCCACCCTGCTTATTGGAGACAGTGATATTGCACTGTGGTGCGTGTATTCACGGGTTGTTGTCATCCTTTCTGAAATGCCACAGATCGAGCTGTAGCAACGGTTGGTGAGTGGCAGGTGGTCGACAAGAGGACCGATGTGGACAGCCTATTTATGGATGGAGAATTACTCAGGTGCGTAGGGGTTTTAATTGCTCAGGTGCGTAGGGTTTTCAATTGCTCAGGTGCGTAGGGTTTTTATAGGCATGCTCTACTGTAATTATTGCTATCACCCTGCTTTGCATGTCACACTGGCAATGTTTCGGTACATATAGAAGTGTACGCGTACATGCACAGATCATTGAACGTATACATATACAAACGTACACACGTACACGCCTATCTCCTCACAGATCAGAGAGTACACTGGTAATGTTTCGGTACATGTAAAGGTGTATGCGTACATGCACAGATCATTGAACGTATACATATACAAACGTACACATGTACACGCCTATCTCCTCACAGATCAGAGTACACTGGTAATGTTTCGGTACATGTAGAGGTGTACGCGTACATGCACAGATCATTGAACGTATACATATACAAACGTACACACGTACACGCCTATCTCCTCACAGATCAGAGTACACTGGTAATGCTTCGGTACATGTAGAGGTGTACGCGTACATGCACAGATCATTGAACGTATACATATACAAACGTGCACACGAACACACCTATCTCCGCACAGATCAGAGTACAATGGGCGACCGAGTTAGAGTGTTCTTCCCCACCATTTTCTACCGCCGGTTTTATGCTGGCATTGTATCGTTGAACATATTTGTAAACCGGTGCATTCACAGACCCGTTAAACGTAAACGTATAGCATTCACAGACCAGTTAAACGTAGGCATACACACACGTACACCGGTGCACACATATTCCCGTAGGGATCGGAGGAAACTGGGTGACCGGATTAAAGAGATTTTCCCCACGATGTTCTACCGCCGATCCTTTGACTCAGATGCCGATTGGGACCTGGACGATGCGGGGAGTAATATCGCCGCCGCTCAGGCCGGACGGCTGGCGCAGGTATCCAGGTAGGTATAATCACCATATATGGAATATGTTTTGTACGCGCCATGACCAAATCCAGGCGTATACGCTGTACATTGTGAGAGATATGGGTCGAATGTCTCGCCATTAAAACTAGGAGTCAGTGTAGTTTCATTCGCCGGTTCCGTTCCTGTTCCATTTACCATACCCATTCGAGTGTACCTCATGCGCTGACACTCACTCTGTCGCCATCCGATAGCGAGAGTCTCTCGGACCAGAAATGGAAGCTGTCCTCGTACGAGCGTGTGCACGCGCCCACCGTATCACAGTCTCGGCTGACCATGGGTGTGGTGAATGAGCTGGGCGTGTTCAATCGCATAGCGGAGGGGATGGGCAACAAGGAAAGTGGGGCGATCCTGGCGTACGATGAGGATGGAGAGTGGTAAGTACTTCAGGCTGCAGTACTGTGCGTGTGTGGTTTGTGTCCTTTACGGTTGTTTGGGGTTTAGGGTTTTTATGTTTCTATACGCTTTCGTCGTAGATTTTATGCCGTAAGAGCGATAATCTATGTGTGTGTAATATGTATATATTTATATATATATATATATATATGTGTGTGTGTGTGTGTGTGTGTGTGTGTGTA